CTCTCTCTCTCTCTCTCTCTCTCCCTCTCTCTCTCTCTCTCTTTCTTTCTTGTCATATTAACCTGGTTGGCCTGGAACTCACTATGTATGTATATGTGGCTAGCCTCAAACTTTTGCAGTCCTCTTTCCTGCATCTGCCTCTTGAGTGAGTGCCGGGATTACAGGCATGTACTATCATGCCTAAGAGACTTCTTTCCCTTCCTCCCTATGCACCCACCACTATCTCTCTTCCTCCTTCTCCAGTCCCCCTCCATTTCATTCTTTGAGATACTGGGGCTTGTGCATGCAAGGTATGCGCTCTACCTCCAAACCATACCCCCCACCCAAAGCTTAAATTCTTTTGTTTGTTTTGTTTGTTTGTTGAGACAGGATTTCACTAGTAGCATAGGTTGACCTCTCTCCTTGCTGTCTTTCCCCTGCTGTCTTAGTTTCCTCAATGCCAGGATTACAAGTGTGGTCCACACCCTGCTCAAAAAGCCAAAAAGGCCCTATCTGTCTCTCCCCTTTTCATCTCCAACACTCTCTGAGGATGCATGCCCCCCCACACCCTCCCTCCCTCCCTCAGGCTTTATTTACCCTCCTGAATGTTTCACATTCACTACATTCACATAGGTCGCCCCACCCCCACCACACCCCCAGCATGCTTTCCACCTCTTAGCCTAACAAACCACCAGGTTGCCCCAAAACTCAGTTTAGAATTTTCTCTTTTTCTGTGAAGGGTTCATTAACATATTCCTATCCCAATAGTGTCACTCCTTGACCAGGTGCTATGCACGAGGTTGCTGTCTGTGTGATGCCATTACACCCCAGCCACACCGCAAACCACTACAGGCCGGAGTGTAGGTGCCCAGCAAGCCTCAGCTCCCATCTCCTCTGCCCTCTCTCTCCTCCCTGTAGAGCCCAGCAAGCCTATGTAGATGTGACAACATCCTAGAGTTCCCAGGCACCATCACCTGCTTCCTGCTCACCTGGACTCTGGGCTGGACCTCTCTGAGAGACTCCTACCCAGTGCTTCCTGGAGCTGCTGTCGCAGTTTCAGTTCCTGTTCAGGGGCCCTTCTTCGAGCTGCAGCCAGCCATAACTGAGGTCCCTCCTCATCACTCGAGTCCCTAGAGAAGCCAACATCTCAGTGGCCCACAGATGTCCTGAGAAAGGGTGCTGTTCCCACTGCCCTCATACTCCAGCTCACTGAAAGACTTACAGCTCCAGGTCCAGGTGTCCCTGGTAGGAGAGGGGAGATGCACACACAGAACAGGTGTTGTCCAGGAGCCGGAAACAGGAATGGCAATAGAAACCTAGAGAAGGCCAGGGGGGGAAAGGAGCTTGAGCTTACCCACCCATGCCCCCTCATCCCTGGTTTCTGGCCTCTGCCTCCTTACTCCACCTCTGGAGGGACTGTCCTTGTCAAGTATGCACACTAGGGAGCTGCTGCAGGGCCCTTTGCATCCAGCAGAATCCTGGAGAACCTGGGGAAATGATTTCCCTGAGGGCTGTATGTAAATACCTAGTAATGAAGGTGAGGTTTCAAAGAATTCCATAAAGGAAGGATCATGATTGACTGTAGGGAATGTTACAGAAAGAAGAAAGCTCTGCAGAGTCTCACCTTTGCAGCCTGGGGTACTGCAGGACACAAAGTTCCCTACATCCCCTTTGTCTTCAGGTTGTCCACAGCCCAGGCAGTAGGATTGATGCAGCACAAATGGGCTGAGAAATGGACTCAGGAAGGGGCACCTGAGGAGAAAGGTCTCAGATGCCAAGCCCAGCTAGCCTAGTGCTTCCCACACCAACCTCCAAATGCTGGGGAGGCCTTCAGCAGTCTAACCTTCATCCCTCTCACCAGAGGACCTGGGTTTGGTTCCCAGTACCCAAATGGCAGCTAGCAACTAATTCCAGGGGCATTGCATGACATAGGTGCATTTACATATATGCAAGTAAAACATTCATCATAGTGATGGGCATGGTGGCTCACGCCTTTAATCCCAGCACTCGGGAGGCAGAGGCAGGTGGATCTCCGTGAGTTCAAGTCCAGCCTGGTCTACAAAGTGAGTTCCAGGCCAGCTGGGGCTATGAGAGATCCTGTCTCAAAAAGACAAAAAAAAAAAAAAAAAAATTCATCATGGGAAAAAACTAGAGGGACTGGAGAGGGCTCAGCAGTTAAGAGCACTGACTGCTTTTGCAGAGGACCCGGGTTCAATTCAAACCGTCCTTATCTCCAGTTCCAGGGGAACCTGAAGCCCTCTTCTGACCTCCGTGGCATTGCATGACACGACACGGGCGCACTCACATACATGCAGGCAATACACTCATAGACATGAAATTAAAATAATAAAAAAAAACAACTAGAATTAAAAATTTTTTTAACTGGATGTAGTGATGCACGCCTTTAATCCCAGTACTTGGAAGGCAGAGGCAGGCAGATCTCTAAGAGATTGAGGCCAGCCAGGTTTACATAGCGAGTTCCAGAGTAGCTGGGGTTACAGGGAGACACTGTCTCAAAAAAAAAAAAAAAAAAAAAAAAATAACTAAACAAACAAGCAAACAAACAAAAAAGAATTCTTATCCTTAATTCTCTCTGTCAGGACACGAAGGTATGGAATAAATATCCTCTTCAACCAAACCTTGTCACTTGGGAAGGACAGTGATCCATTCTGACCTCTGGCTCTTTTTCTATTCTTGCCCCATCCCTATAGGGAAGCATGGTAGACGCACCGGATGGCTAGCACTTGGAGGACATTCATGCGGCCCTGGTCAGCTGCCCGTCGCTTCACTGCTCGATGCACTGTGGCTAAAATGTTGGTTCGATGGCTAAGAAGTATGTTGTAGAGGTAGACAATCCTTTCCTGATGGGATGTGAACAGGGATGGGCACACACTTGATCTTGTTCTATCTGCCAGGTATGCCCTCCACACCCATCCGCACTCATTGCCTGTCTTTCCCATTTAACTTCTGTGAATCCCTTAAATGATTAGCTCAAATGACTCTTCCTCCAGGAAGCCTACTGGACCTCCCCAAGTGAAATAACCCACTCTCTCCTCTGGGTTTCCATGTCATATATGGGGAGGGGTGGTGAGAACCTCAGAGAGCAAAACTTTTTTGTTAGTGATAATGTCTCATTAAAAACCTATCTGCTGAGCCGGGCATGGTGGAATATGCTTTTAATCCCAGCACTCAGGAGGCAAAGGCAATCAGATCTCAGTGAATTTAAGGCCAGCCAACTTGGAACAGAGTTCCAAGCCAGGTGCCAGCTGGAGCTACAGGGAGACCCTGTCTCAAAAAGACAGAAAAACAAAAAACAAAAACCTATCTGCTGGCTTGACAGAGCAGTAGACTGCCTGCTTCACTTTGGCATCCTTGGAAGCCCAAGGGCAACTGTCACACAGCAGAGAAATAAGCCAGGTGTGGTGGCAAACGTCTTTAATCTCAGCACTTGGGATGCCGAGGCAGGAGGTCAGCCTGGTCTACATAGAAAGTTACAGGCCAGCTGGGCTACAGGGAGATCCTGTCTCACAAAAAAACAAAAATCAAAACAAAAAGAGAGTAGAGAAATTTGAGTCTCCATCCATACCATGGTATACCAACACTGCCCGGTCCTCATGGTTTTAGCAAAACTTTGGAGGTACAATGTGTCTCAGCCCTGGCTCAAAAGGCATCATTTCTCCCAGCTCCATCTGGGATTTAGAGAGACGACATGGACTGCTGAGGAGCTCAGGATTCTCAAAGTCAATATAGACACTCACTAGCTTAGCACCTGGGGCTGCAGCAGAGGCTGGCTGCTGGCTATGGCCTGCTCACCTGTTCCCTGGATGGGTAGTAGGAGGCACAAATGACACGCCGCAGCCGGCTGACATAACTGCCAAAGAGAGTGACGAAGAAGCAGAGGCCATACATGGTACCTGGGAGCACAGCATGCAGTGAGTGAGCACTACTTGAGCCACACTCCTAGGACACCTCCCCCCAACCTCAAGTCTTCACCCTTGGTTCCCCAGGGCCTCAGGTGAGGTGAATACCGATAACAATGTAACCAGTGGTGTCTGGTTCTGAGGGATGTAGGAGGCAGCGCCGGGATAATACACTGATGTTGCCTTGTTGCAGAATGTCAAATGCTGACACCAGGTCACGGTAAATATTCCCTGAATAGCCAGTCCCTTCCACTGTTATAGACAATAGCACAGGGCCTGGCACAAAGACACTGCGTAAGGGACACTCATGGCCTGCTTTCCCACACAGAAGAGAGCCCACCTTCTGCAGGGTGCAAAGTAGAGCCAGGCCTGGCCTCAGTCCTAGGTCCTGCTGGGTGGCACTTCCATGATCTTCATGATCAACTCAGTCTTATTTAACCATTGGCTGAATGCTGACTTTGTTTGTTTGTTTGTTTGTTTTTTTGTCTTTTTGAAGCAGGGTCTCCGTGTAGCCCCAGCTGTCCTGGAACTCACTATGTAGACCAGGCTGGCCTTGAACTCACAGAGATCCACCTGCCTCTGCCTCCCAAGTGCTGGGACTACAGGCGTGCGCCACCACGCCCGGCTGCTGACTTTGTTTTTAGCGACAGGGTCTCACTATGTAACCTCGGCAGGCCTAGAACTCTCAATCCTCCTGCTTCAGCCTCCAAGTGATGAAATTACAGATGTGTGACACCACTCCTGGGTTTATTGTTTATCTTGGACTTTGTTTTTTTCTTTTTGCTCATGTGTGTGTGTGTGTGTGTGTGTGTGTGTGATGTGTATGTATGGACACATGTGCCATGGCATGCATGTAGAGGTCAGAGGACAACTTTGTGGAGTCAATTCCTTCCTCCTTCACATGGCTTTTGAAGGATCGAACTCAGGCCACTAAGCTTTCATGGATGGTGCCATCTTGCTGGCCTTCACTTTCTGTTTTTCTTCTGTTAGACTTCTGATAAAAAAATTTAGATTAATCTTATTCTGTGGCTTATGACATGGTCTCAATCCATGGTCAATAAAGTGCTTAACAGAAATAGTCTCATTTGCCCTTTAGAGTGACCCAGAGAGCAACCACTGCCCCACTGTTCAAACGAGCAAACAGAAGTTGTGAGACTCTAAACAACTTGACTCTTTTTTTTTTTTTTTTTTTTTTTTTTTTGAGGCAGGTTCTCCCTGTAGCCCCAGCTGTCCAGGAACTCACTATGTAGACCAGGTTGTCCTTGAACTCACAGAGACCCTCCTGCCTCTGCCTCACCAGTGCTGGGACTAAAACGCGTGTGCCAACCACGCCTGGCTTTTTTTTTTCTCTGTAATAGGGCAGGGATGGGATTTGGGGATTTGAGCCTGGGCCAGGCTGACTTGTGTTTTAAGCTACTCTGGTTTTTTTGATTTTGTTTTTTTGTTTTTGGTCTTTTTGAGATCGGGTCTCCCCATAGCCCCAGCTGGCCTGGAACTTACTATGGAACTCCCTATGTAGACCTTGAACTCACCAAGATCTTTCTGCCTCTACCTCCCAAGTGCTGGGATTAAAGGCATGCGCCACCATGCCCAGCCCTACTCCACTACAAATTTTTTAAACATAAACTTATTTATAAAATGTGTAAGTAAAATTTATTTGTATTTTATATGTATGAGTGTTTTGCCTGCATGTATATAAGTGCACCCATGCATGCAGTGCTCACAGAAGTCAGAAGAGGGCATCAGATGGTTGTTAGCTGCCACGTGGGTGCTGGGAACCAAATCCAGGTTCTCTGCAAGAACAGTCAGTGCTCTTAACCACTGAGCCATCTCTTCACCAGTTACTCTATTATGTTATGACCTTGATCTAGATTCTAGGCAGAGGCTACAACAGGAAGAGGGTGTATGGCAGTGACATGAGAATATCCAGATAATTCCCCAAAAGGAGGTTCCAGGGAGGAGGAAGATGCATGGGGTGGGTGGGCACAGGAAGAAGTATGGGCACTCACTTCGGGCCACGATCTCCCCCTGCAGGTGGTACTGGGCCAGGTCAAGCACCCAGAAGACAGCATAGTCCAGGAAGACCAGGAGCATCATGAGGAGGAGATGGCGGACAAGAGCAAAGGTCTCCAATATATAAAAAATCTGCTCCCGTCGGGACAAGAAGATGGAGCCTGAAGGGGCAGGGGGCAGGAGTATGCACCCCAGTGCTCCAATTCTCCTGCCCACAGATCCCAGCTCCTATGGATGTGTCCACTTCTATCAAGCCCAGCCCACTTCCTCATCCAGAAGACAGAAAGGGGAGGCTGTTTAGGACTGTGACAAAGGTGGGAGCAGTCTTCAGGGACAGGGGTGATGTGGAGCCTTGCAGCTCCACCTGGGCCCAGTGGCCCTTCCCACGCTCTCAGACCCAGGCTCCTGGGCTCCTCTCCTCCTTTGCCTGACTCCTACCTCCTAGGCAGCCCTCCTGCCCTTACTACAGAATGACTTTCCAACCTCACATCCCTGTTCCGTATTGCTCCCCATGCAGCCTTGCTTCTGCCTGGCCTCCAGAGTGTTCCCTTCTCTGCCTGCATTTTCCAAAGGAAAATGGTCAGGACCATGTCTCCATTTCAGTCTGAAGTCATCACTCCTCCTTCTGGTCCCTGCCTGTGCTTCAGAGTACAGTCCAGGGTATGGGGCTTGGGGAGGCCCTGGCCTGCCTGAGAGCCTTTCTCTCCCCATCTCAGGGCCCTTACCTGGCTGGATGTAGCATCTGGCCTCATGAGCACTGAGTGGCAGCACAGTGGGTAGCCCTGCTATGGAACGGACTGCCTCCATGCGCAGGAAGCGGCTGGTGATATAGATGTTGTCAAAATTGTCCCAGTTCAGGTAACGATACCGGTAACACAAGGCTCTGAGAGGAAGGACATGTGAGATGCCTTGGCTCTCCTAACCAGACCTACCAGATACCCCAGGCCACGCTGCCCCTTTAGCCTCCCGATGCCTGGATGGACAGTCCCACAACCCATCTGTCCCCCCGCAGGCCCCAGTGAGTAAGCCCTCACTGGAGGTAGAGAAGTGCCAACAGCAGAGGCGTGGTGTAACCCATCAGAGCCAGGACCTCTCTAGCACTGTGCAGCTTCATGCCGACAGCCTCATGGAGGTCCAGAGCCACCTGGGACAGGCTCCGAGAGGCATTGAGGTCCACAGAGAAGTAGTAGGTGGCCGTCATGTTGAATTCAAATTCACGACGCACCCGGTCAATCAGCTTCATCACGGCTGGGGCCAGCCGGGCAAGGGGAGACATGAGCAGGGACAGTTAGAAGGGGCAAAGCTGCATGGGGTGGGGATTGTCTCAGCCCAGGAGTGCATGGCTCACAAACCAGCCCAGGGCCTGGACAGTGGACTAGCAAAGAGTGATATCTTCCTAACACCCAGCACTAGACCTGGCCCAAAGCTCATGCTCTATCATGAGTGAACCCCATGAGCTGCACTTGGGGTGGGAGGCCCTACTCCTCCCAGCTCTTGCTCTAAGTCTGACTTTGATGAAGCACCTCCCCTTCACTGGGCCTCAGTTTAATCTGCTCAGTTTAGACATTAGCCTGGGGACCTCTCAAGGTCCTTTCCTGCTCTTGCATTCTCATGCATGGACTAGGAGACTTGAGCTGGCCACAATGTGACAAGGAGAGCACTGGCAGCAGGGGCTGAAGGCTTCACTCACGAGTGCTGATGGTCTTTCGCAAGAAGGGCTGGATGTACTTGGGGATGACACAGAACACCTGGACCACTGAGTCAATGGAGCTCAGTGTCAGGAGGAGGAGCAGAGAGGTAGCCTGCCCCTCCCACCTCTGGGACCCCCTTCTTACAGGGCCTTCAGGACTTTCTGTCTTTCCTGTTAGCCTCCACATTTGCTCAACACTTTTTTATTTTTATTTTTTTTTTGGACTTTTTTGAGACAGGGACTCCCTGTAGCCCCAGCTGTCCTGGAACTCACTATGTAGCCCAGGCTGGCCTTGAACTCACAGAGATCCGCCTGCCCCTGCCTCCTGAGTGCTGAGATTAAAGGCGTGTGCCACCATACCCAGCTACTCAACACTTTTTAGCCTCTTCCCTTGCCCCTCCCTGAACATAGTTCCTTCTCTATTGCCCAACCCCCAAATTGATCTCAGCAGCCTTACAGGCTCCATATTCATTTGCCCTTACGTGTTCCCCTGTGCCCACCCTCCTGACAGATCCTGTATTCTCACATCCCACTCCAGCCTCCCCATGTTCAGGCATCCCCATAGGCAGCCCCTGGTTTTCTCACAGTTGGCAAGTCCACAGAGCACGAGTTTGAAGGGCATGATCACATAACACAGGTGATAGAATTGTGACATGATCTTCATACAGTTGTCTTTGGCGTCATCAAACACCCCAGTGCATTTCATGTAAGGGTTGCCCAGCTCTGAGTTGCACACGTCGCCGACGTGGAGGAGCCAGTACCACACATTCCGCAGGGCTCTGGCTGGAGACAACTATGGAGTTGGTACTCTGGGTAGGAGCCCTCCAGCCTTTTTCAGTGACTTGGGTAACACCAACCAGCCCCCAGTCAGTGGTCAGATGTGCTGTGTCCAGTGAGCCTGAGCAGGCCTGGACAGGTACTAGGGTAAAGAGACTGGGTGAATTCTGACCTCCCAAACCTGCTGACAGGCTTACCCACATGCCTCACTCCATCCATGATTGACCGGAAGAACTTGCGAACCCGGTCAGCCACCACTTTGGCCCTCTGGGCAATAGCTTTAATCTTGGTCAAAGCACCTAAGGGACAAAGGCCAACATGGCTGCACGGTGGGGCCTCTTCTTCCGGAGCTGGCTCTCACAATGGGGCGGGGGGCAGCGTGTGCAGTGGATCAGCTCTAGAAAAGGCAGTTAACCAGGCAGGGGAAGGAGCTAAGAGAGTAAGGGAAAGAGGGTTTAGCTGGACCAGAAAACGGCTTTCAGGACCAGACACTTTGAGGTTAGGACACAGTTCCAACAGAGCTGAAGGACAGTAGACTTTGCAGGATGAGGGTGGCCAGGGGCAGTGGGAGGCCAGGGTGGAGCTTACTGACAAGGGGCTGCTTTGCCTGCTCCAGCACTTCAGCAGTCTGGTTCAGGGCCAGCTCTGCTCCACAGGCCACAGCCTCACTGGCCCGAGTAAAGTTGCGCAGGGTGTTGGTACAAGGCCCTTGCAACACCAGCCCAAAGGCAGCCACCAACAGCAGCATTCGGCCCTGCCCTGGAGAGACAGCTCCATCACAGTCAGGACCCCAGCCCCAAGACAGTCCCTAAATCCCTTACATGAGCCCTCAAAATACTCTCCACCCCAACTCTGCCATGCCCAAAGGGTGCCAAGCTCACTGGAGAAGACCTGGGGAAGCATCAGGAGGATGGTGGCACGGATCTGGCGAGAGAATCCCATGCCCAAGCTGAGGAAGGCAGCTAAAGTGATGGTGGCCACTAGGCAGCCCCAGGGGCTGTGTCCTTCCACTAGGAGCTCCAGAAGGCCATAGGCTGTGGCCAAGGACAAACCTAGGGTAAAGCCTCCTACACTTCGGACCACAGCCCGTGCCATACTTGGCTCTTCTTCTCTGGAGGACCACTCTACAGCATCCATGACTTTGGATATAGCTGTTGAGACCAAACACCAGTCCGTCTCTAAGAGAGGCCCCCAGATTCTATGGACCCGGAATTCCTCATCCCATTCTAAGGTTCCAAGGAGCTTTTACTATGGGTGTCTCAGAACCCATTACCTAGTTCTGAGGGATCACAGAGCTAAGGGATTGAAGGGCACAGAGCTCAGTCACGGGCTGTGAGTGAGGCAGAGGACAGAGGTGGCACTTCCCTTCTCTCATCAAAATCTCATAGCCTGGGAATCCTTGTAATGACTTCTGGGATGGAAAGGGTTCCCTAGAATAGACTGATGGACATTACACAGCATCGGAATGGAGCAAGAAGGCAGCAAAGGAAACCTCCCCATACCAGTGAGACAGCCCTGCCACTTCCCAGCATCCCCCAGACTTCTCTTGTCCTGTCTCCCCTCCATCTTGGAGTCTTTTAACCTCCATCCTTATCCAGTGCCTCCCTATAGCCCAGTCTTTCCTCTTTTCTCCAGCACTGCTGCCTCACTTCTTCAGACTCCTTTACTTCTTCTAGTGTACAAGTTTGTGCCACCAGGTCCCTCCAGTCTCTGATGCCCTTAAAATCCCTAACCTTTGGGCACTGGAGAGACAGCTCAGCAGCTAAGAGTGCTCACTGCTCTTGCCAAAGGACACAGGTTCAGTTCCTAGTACCTACATAAGGTGGCTCATAACCACCTATAATTCTAGTTTCAGGGGATTTGATGCCCCTGGCCACCTGCATGAATGTGGTGCACATAAACTCATGCAGGCACATATACATACAAATAAATCTAAAACCCTTTTAAGAATTAAAACAAACAAATAAAGCCCCTAAGCTTAATGAGCTCCTCTCAGCCAGGAGAAGGGTCTGTGAGCTCAACTGTACCACCTCCCAGCCATGCAGAGGCTCCTGAGCTGGGGACTTCCAGTGTCCTGGAACCGGTTCCTGTGGCGCCAGTCCAGCGAGTTCCCTGCTACAGCTTTCCTGCTGGGGGCAGGCACTGGGGGGCTCCTGGCCATAGGCAAGTATGGGAACAGAAGGGCAGAGACTGAGGCAGAGACTGGAACTCTTTGTTGACTTTTGGCTTTACCCTGTTCCCTTAGGTCTCTTTCAGCTCCTGGTGAGCCCCATGAACATCTATGAAGAGCAGAAGATGGTGGCTTTGTATGGCTTGGCAGGTTAGGAGTTGAGACCTGGGGAATATTCCCAGTCCTGAGGGTCCAGGAGGAAATAGGAGTTTGCTTTTTCTGTACCCAAAACAATCTAATTTCAGCCTCCTCTTGGGCTTTAAGGAAAGGCTCAGAGGAAAGATGTTTCCAACCTAAGAAGACCCCAACCCTTGCCTTCAACAAGTCTTGTCAATGAGAGAGTTCCCATTGCCCACACACCATAGCCCAAACCCTACCACCTCCTAACCTACTCTGCTGACCACTCTGGCTCACTTCCTGATGTTCTTGAGAAATCTAGTTCATTTGTTCATTCATTTGTTCCCTCATTCATTCATTCATTCATTCATTCATTCATTCATTCATCACTTACTGAGGATTCAGCAGTGAGCAAGATTGACAAGCACCAGTCTTTTGGGAGTTATAGTAAAAAAACGTCAGACATACTTAGGTGTAATGATTCACACCTGTAATCCCAGCAGTCAGGAGACTGAGGCAGGAGAATTATCATAAATTCAAGATTCACCTGGACTACACAGTGCATTTCAGGCTGGTCTGGAATGCAGAGTAATACCCTGACTCAAAAGCCAAAACTGCCAGGCGTGGTTGTGCACACCTGTAGTCCCAGCACTTGGGAGGCAGGGGCAGGCAGATCTCTGTGAGTTCAAGGCCACATAGTGAGTTCCAGGACAGCTCAGGCTGTAGGGAGACCCTGTCTCAAAAAGACCAAAAACAAACAAACAAAAAAACCCTAAACTAACCAAAGAGCCAGACAATGAACCATAAGTAAACATCTTTGATAAGGAGAAGTAAGAAAAAAAAGCAGGGGTGAGAAGAAGGGACTGGGGAGCAACCCTGGCTCAAGCAGCCAGGGCAGATTTCTCAGAGAAGGTGATGTTTGAAATGGAGACATTTGGGAGGTGTTGGGCTGCAGGAAAAGAAAGACTATGTAAAAGTGGTTTAACTTTAGAAAAAGTTTATCTCACATAAAAAGTTTGATGAAGAAGAGTCAGATATGGTGGCTCACACCTGTATTCTCAGCATTCAGGAGGGTAAGGCAATGAGTTCCAGGACAGCTTGGGCTACAGAGTAAGACTATCTCAAAATACAAGGAAGGGAGGGAGGGAGGAAAGGAGGGGGGCTGGAGAGATGGTTCAATGGTTAGAGCACTGACAGCTCTTGCAGAGGACCCCTCACTTTCTAGACTCTACATGGTGTCTAACAACCATCTGAATCTCCAGTTCCAGGGAACCCAACACCCTCTTCTGGTCTCCACAGGCATTGCACATACATGGTACACTTACATACATGGGAGATAAAACACTCATGCACATAAAATAAAAATCAAAAAAAAAAAAAAAGAAAAAGGAAGGAAGAAAGAAAGAGGAAAAAGAAAAAAGAAAACATGCTTCAGCATCTGAGTAATTCAACTACCCAGCTCAGTAAATTTATCAAAGCTCCAGGGTTGCCAGGCCTAGTACTTGGAAGGCTAAGGCAGGAGGACTGCAAGTTTGAAGTCAATCTGGGCTATATACAAAGACTTTATCTCAAACAACAACAACAAAAATAAGCCACCACCAGGGTCCTTTGGTATTTTTCTCTCTTTGGCCAGAGGTTTTCATTTTACATAATGCCTGCAGCAAGTCCAAGTATCGCATTTTTAACAATAACCTTAAAGACCAGAAACTGGAGGAATGCACATCCCTTTCTGACATCCATTTTCAGGAACCAAGAAAACTTCCTGGCAAGTTTTTTACATCTCTTTGGTCAGTACAACACATGCCCTGCCCCAAACTTATCCCAGATGAGGGCGACAGAATTAATGTCACTAGTTTATTGAACACATAAACTGGAGTCTTTGACCAGAAGGCCAAGGTTACAGATTAAACTGCTTTTTTTTTTTCTTACACTGTATTCAAGTATGTTCTGCTGATAACCTTTCACCCAGGTTTGTAGGAAGCCCCAGTTCTGCTGAGGACTTTGGGCTTAGTTTTAGGGGTTCAAGACTTTAGCCTCACATATTCAAACATTGCTTCTTGCTGCCCCATCCACTGCATCTCAGTCTGCTCCTTGGCCTGGGTACTGTCTACTGCTGCCTTTTTTTTTTTTTTCAAATATTTTCCAAATTCTTTGACGGTTCCATACATGTATAAAATGAATTTTAATCACTTCCAACCTCCCTTCCCCTCTCTCATGCCCTTCCCTCTCTGACTGAAACCTCTTCCCAACAAGTTGTCCTCCTCACCTCTTCTTCTGTGTGTGACCCACTAACTTTAATTAGGGCTGCTTTCGCAAGCATGGTAGGAGGTTATTTATTGAAACATGAGCAACTTACCAATAGTTACACCACCGAAGAAAATGACTCTCTCCCCCAACAACTTTGTTTGTTTGTTTGTTTGTTTGTTTGAGAGGCTTATGTAACCTAGGATGGGCTTAAACTCCTGCCTCACCTCTGAAGTGCTGGGATTGTAGGTGTGCACCACCAGGCCTGACTTCCTTTTTTTTTCCTTTGATGTTAGAAAGGGGAGAAAAAGAATTAGATGAAAAGGAACAAAGTCTTTGTTTGTTTTTTATGACTTGCACAGTGTTGGGGCAAGGTCTTAAATCATCTACACTGCTTTAATCCCTGTCAGTGCCCTGATGTGGCAGGCATACTAACGGTCTCTGGAGGTTCACTGTGGTGTGAACTAGAGCAGTTTCATTTTGGCTGGCCTCAGATGGAGCCCCCTTAGCTTTTGTGAGCAAACCACAGTCTTTTTCTTTGAAACACACACACACACACACACACACACACACACACACACACACACCCTCTGCTCTCTCCCCTGCCCTGCAAGAACTAGGTTCACACTCTCAGCTCTGGAGGGGGCAGGAACCTGAAGTAGTTTAGTCAAGTGCTACAGCTCCACAGGAGTCCAGCCCAGGAGGGATGAGGCAGGGTCCCCTTCCTGGACAGTCCCTAGAGGATCTTGACCTGACCTGTGACAGCCATCCTCTTCTTAGATTATGCCTGCCCTCCATTCCCAGAAAATTAACATTTCCAGTTTATTTTGATTGCTATTAATTGATTGATTGATTGACTGACTGTGGTACAGGGGATTCAAACCCAAGGCTTCATATATGCTAGGCTAGTATGACACAACTGAGCCATGTCTGCCAGTCCTCCTTTTAGTTTTAGTTTTTTATATTTATTATTTTTATTCTATGTGTATGAGTATATTGCCTGCATGTATGTGAGTACACCCGTGTTGAGAAGAGGGCTTCGGATTCCCCTGGAACTGGAGTTAAGGGCGGTTCATAGCTGCCATGTGGGTGCTGGGAATTGAACCCAGGTCTTCTGCAAGAGCAGTCAGTGCTCTTAACTGCTGAGCCATCTCTCCAGCCCCTTTTTGTTTTAAGATAGGGTCTCATGTACACCTGCTGGCCTCCACATGTAGTTGAGAATGGCCTCGAACTTCTGATCTAGTGCTTCTACCTCCTAAGTGCTGGGATTATAGGCATGTACCATAACCACACCTGGTTTTTCAGTACTGAGGACCAAACCCAGGGCATCATGCATGCTAGACTAGCACTCTATCAACTAAGCTACATCTCCATCTCTTTTCACTTAAAAAAATAAATTATTATTTTTATTTTATGTGTATTGCCTGCGTGTAGGTAAGTGCACCCATGTTCAATGCCTGTGGAGGTCAGAAGAGGCTCTTGGATCCCCTGGAACTGGAGTTATGGACAGTTGTTAGCTGCCATGTGGGTGCTGGGATTCAAACCCGGGTCTTCTGTAAGAACAACCAGTGTTCTTAACTGCTGAGCCATCTCTCCAGCCCCCCCTTTTCACTTTTGAGACAGAGTCTCACTAAGTTGTCTAGGCTAATCTTGAACACACTCTGTAGCTCAGGGAGGCCTTAAACGTTTGTTCTTCCTGCTTCAGCCTCTTGAGTAGCTGTGATTATAGGTATGTGACATCAGGCCCAGTTCTTTTATTTTTCTTATTTTTTATGTGTCTGAGTGTTTTGCTTGCATGAATATAAGTATACTACATGAGTGCAATGCAGAAGAAGTGTTGGATCTCCTAGAATGGGAGCTACACATGATCATGAGTTGCCATAAAGTTTCTGGGACCTAAACCTGGGTTTGCTGCAAGAGTAGCCAGTGCTCGCTGGGCGTGGTGGCACACACCTTTAATCATAGCACTATTCAGGAGGCAGAGGCAGGTGAATCTCTGTAAGTTCAAGGTTCAAGGCCAGCCTGGTCTACATAGTGAGTGCCAAGCCAGTGGGAGACAAAAAAAAAAAAAAAAGAGTAGCCCTTAACCACAACCCATCTCTCTAGGTCCTTCATTTAAAAACAAAAAAAATATTTTTTTTTTTGGTCTTTTTGAGACAGGGTTTCCCTGTAGCTCCAGCTGTCCTGGAACTCACTATGTAGACCAGGCTGGCCTTGAACTCACAGAGACCCGCCTGCCTCTGCCTCCCGAGTGCTGGGATTAAAGGTGTGCGCCACCATGCCCAGCTTAAAAACTATTTTAAAAATATTTTATTTATTTATTTGGTCTTTTTGAGACAGTGTCTCCCTGTAGCCCCATCTGGACTGGAACTCCCAATGTAGACTAGGCTGGATCACAGCAATCTGCCTGCCTCTGCCTCCCAAGTAAAGGCATGCAACACCACGCCTGGCATTTATTGGTTTTTATTTTGTCTTCTTTTTTTTT